TCACCACCCTTTACCCCGACTATCTCGCCTCCCTCCCTCATAGTGGTAATCGATTCCCTCGCTTCCACCGGATCATCTGATATCGGGAGTTTCCGAAGACAGTCGTGGGATTAGAATGCTTCATGCCCCCACTTCCGACTAACCCACCCCCTTGCCATGCCCCCATGTATCGTCTTCCCTTTCCCCTTCCCTTAGGTCATTGATGCACGGTTGATTGACACGTGCCACCGCAATGGCACGCACGATCCCCTCCTCGGACTGAAGAAAGCCCATCATGAGGAAATTGTAGGACAGAGCCATGTGTGCCACCAGGGATGACGTCCCCACTCTTATCGAACGGTAAGTGGCAACAAAGAAGGCTCCGCGTGTCGATCGATTAGAGAGATCGACACGTGTCATGATTCAAGCAAGCAGGAGCTTGCTTAAGATTGGAACCCCCTGGGCGTCACGTATGTGACGAACCAATTTCTGTTCCGCGCGATCTTCTGCGTGATGACAATGAGGGGTCATAAGATGGGAAGGTTGGGCCAATTACGTGAGATCGAGATCAAAGGGAAATTGCATCGGTGTCCTCGCTTTTTCGTCTTTTCTCATTCATCGCTTCTTTTTGGATAGCTGGGTTCAGGGCCGGGCAAGTCCCGAGATGGCCGATTGAGTGGCTGTCACGCCGACAAAGGCGCGAATAATAATGTTTGACGTCGCTTCTTTCTTGATTTTGCTGTTGGTTTTTAGGCGTGGAGGGCGCGCAAGAATTTTGCTTCATTCTTTTTAAATTTCTTTTTCGAATCTTGTCGAGCCCTTGATGGCCCTCGGAACTTCAGACTTTCTTTTCGGAATTTGTGTTTTTTGCATTTTTTGCATTAGGTAGGAATTTAGGAATTCGGGATTTCTTTTGCCGCGCGCGCTTCTTTTTGCGGCTGCATCAGAGCTCTGATTAGACGGCGCCCTTGATCTTGCAAGTAACTGTAATTTTTGGGCGGGCATCATTGTAACTCTACCTTTCTTCTTGAGCTTCGTTTTTCCCGCTCTCCCTTTCCCTTTTGCTGTGCCTAGTTAGCCCGCGGCCTGCATGATCGGATCGCTGAGTGGAGAGTGGCTACGTCCCCCACGCCGCGGTCTGGCCGTGCATAACGTAGGCGCTCCCTCTCCTAATCCCCTTTCTAAGTCCTTGCAATTTCGTGTTCTTTGCGCATGCATGCACACTATAAATTCCGGCTGCGCGATTAGATAGCTCTCTTAACCAGTTGTTGGAAGCTCGGGGTAGCGCGATCAGTGAGGGTCGGCTTACGAGCGAAGTAAGAGGTGAGTTGAAGTGGGAGTTGGGTGACCCGACGAGCTGGTGCCGAATGCGCGGGGTTGACGCGTGGGGCTACGACGGACTGTAGTGCGCGGACGAACCTGACGGGTGCAAGAGGACTAAGCGGGGTGACGACTTTGTGGGTTGGTGCGTGACGACGGACTGTCCGCATCGGAGAGACAAAGAGAGGAAGAAAGAGTTGAGGTTGATGGATGTGGAGTTGCGATTTTCTTTGTCTTATCTCGCTCTTTGCTTTTGTATATAAATTTTGATCTCGACTCAGGGCGGCTCGCCCATTTTCCTTTGTTTTCCGAATCCTTGTCTCGATTTCAACCCACACTCATTTTGCGATTGGTCTTGATCTTGTTTATTGTGTGTTTTGTCGAATGAATGTATGAATGAATGTCATGTCTGTTGCTTTTCTTTTGTCTGGTTTTTGCCTTGCTTGCCATTTTGATACACTCATAAGCATAGTAGAAACTCTTGCATAGTCGTCATTACTGCTTCCCTTACTACTTATCCCTTTGATCCGTTGTCGTCGCTGCGATGTCTGATGCTGCGTTGACACCTTGCATGCTCAAGAACGATTGCTTGCGGGATCACGGAGTGATTAGATGATTGGGTAGTTGTTTATGGCGCATGGCGATTTTGCATGAGGAATTAGGCTCTCATTCTTCCAGAAACAAGCGAATATCTCGCGAGGATGCGTGCAAGCGCGATTTGATCTGCGCAGCCTGCACGTATCCACACGGGCTGATTCGCGACTATTGACGAACTTGACATATCCGGTATCGGGTTGGCAGAAATTTTCCTTCCCCCCCCCCGCACCTAAACGGACAGGAATTTCCGATACCACATCGGGAAAATCCCCTTGCTGGTTAGATGCGTGCGGAAGAATTCCACTACCTCGCAATGACAAGATGCCGAGCTCCTGGGACTCGGAATACCCAGAATTCCCCTGCCTAACCGAGAATCGATTGTGCCCCAGGGAGTCTCACTGTGCCATAACCAGCGATCAGAGGTGCCCCGATTTTCCCACTACGGATAACACGCAATACTTCATACCCCCCGGCTTCGTCGTTATCWCTACCAATTTCCCTCCCTTCCGTCTCCTCCTCCCGTATCACCAGCTCACAGTGGTACCGTGGAATTCCATCGCCCCGTATTGGCCCCGCACACCTTGCGAAAATTGCCGGCGATGCGGCAACCGACGTGCCCCGGAGACTAGGGGGCCTAACCAAAACGTGCGACGACAGACGCCATGTGTCTGCACCCGAAGGTCCGACTCATCGGAATCACAACCATCCCGGGCGGGCCTCTCTCCGAACCGCCGCCACCAAAATAGACGGATCAGACGGACTTGAATACACCACGCATACCATCTGCCTTATGCTGCAAGACCTCGACCGCGATCAGACCGGAGGTAACTCGCCCCCTTAGCTCTATTGCATCTATGCCTTTGAAACCTTGCCACAGGAGATCTCAGTTCCGACCTGGGACTCCACCCCCACTTTTCCCAAAAATCCTTGGCACACCCCTTTTTGCACTTCCAGGCCAACATCCCACCCCGATCAGGGAGTCGTGCCGGGCGTGAGGTTGGGCGTCACAACCGCGCTACCGGGCGTTTGCACGGTTGAGGTCAGTGACCTACCGTGTTAACCGCCGCGGCATTTGTTTCCAAGCGGGGAAATGTTGTCCACATGCTCTTATCGCTGTGTTGAAAAAGAGTCCCATAGCAACTCAAATTGGATGTTTGCAGCCGACCCGGCCACTGATAGCAGTCTGTGGGGACAATTTGTTATGATCCCCACAGACTGCTACCAAGCTGTTACTGCCCGGGTGGGCCGCAAACATTCAGTCACAGCTGAGAGGGGACACGGGGCTGAAAGACGGGCTACAACCCGGTCAGAACTGAAACTGTGCCTGTGAGCAAGATCCCACTAGGCGAAATATGGGCCTCACCACAGTACTCCCGACTTGGAGAAAAATTTCAGTACTCCCAAACGTCTGAGGACGCAAAAATCCATTTGGTTGTGCGCTTCGCCACACTGCACTCCCGACTTGGGTGCTCTCCGATTTGGAGGCCAGGAGGTGCACTTCAGACAGAGACTGTCTAGGACTGTGCCGCATGCGGTGACGGAAACTGTGACGAGAATGCTTGTCTGCACACGGGCTCTCCGGTCGAAACACAGGCCTCCGCGAGAGGTCTCCTGAAAATGGCCTTCTACAGGCGGGAGGCTCAAGCGATTTCGGGAGTGCACTCGGGAGCCACATTCTGACAGGTCCCCAATTCAATCTGACAGGTTAAACTGGGGAGCTGGTGTGGCTATGCTGCACTCCCGAAAATGTCCAAGTCGGGAGTAGTGTGGAGAGGCCCTATGACCTCTTCACCTCATGTTGCCAATTTCTGCCTGGATGCCACCCAATGGCAGTATGTTTTGCCTTCACACCACCCAAATGGGGGGGAAATGTGGTGGGGATTGGCAAAGGCGTTATTTGGGTCACTGAAATATTGCCCCTTCACCTGGCCTGGACCTAGAAAACGAAAACGGGGTTACTCCAACTAGGACCTATTCCTAATAAGCTCTGGACGTGATTGCAGTCAGATTCATCCACCCTTGGCCGTAACTGCAGTCGATGCATTTAGAGAAGTCCTAGTGTGTGTGTGTGTGCCTGGAGGGCATACTCGCTAAGCACACCGTGAACTACATTCACGGAAACGCTCGTGTGACCTGAAAGCATTTCTTCTTCTTCTTCTGTGTTTTTTTGGCTTTTTTTTCTTTTTTCTTTTCCTTTTTGTGGTGTCGCAAAAAAAAAACTATTTCATTCCAACAAGCGGAGACGGACTGGTGTTCATGGGGGCCGACCCAATTACATCGTCTTGTCGAATCGTACGGCCAGGATAGATGGAGGATACCAAGTCTTGATATTAGCGGTTCGATTTCATGTGTCAAAAACCCAGTCAGCTAGGTCGGGGGGGGCCGACCACATTCAGTTCAGCTTCTAGGCCGTACGAGGATGATGGGCTTCTCGCTCTATTACGTATCTCTACTGTTTTTCGGACCCGATTCATTTTATGAATGATCGAACGTTATGAAAGTAATGGGACGTAGCTGTGCAGTGGCGCGATGCCCGATATCTCCTGCGAAGTACATCCCTGGCCAGCTGAAGCCTTCTGCGGATGGCCGCCGACGTGTGGAAAGTTGCTTGCTGGATGGTCGCTGCTGCCCGGTTGAGCGACCTGTGTGAGGAGGAGCCAGCTCATGGGCCTCGCTCCACTACTCGCCAGATGCACAAAAGACAAAAAAAATGGCGTCGCAACTTCCCATGTTCAGGCGGAAGATTCATTCTCATTCTGCGCATGTGGTCAGTCGTGAAGCGAGGCCCCATGATAGACAAGGGAGAGGGAATCCCTATCCACGGAAAAGTGGAGCCGACGGGGGACGCCATTTTGCAACTTTCGGGTCGGAGTGGCTTGGGTTCGGCGTTTTCGTTCCTTGTACTGCGATACGACAAGACAATTACGCAATTGCCCCTTGGCAGAGCTGACGCATGAGCGAAGTGGGAGGAGCGCAGAGGTAGGGGGGCACGGAGAAGTACGGAGCCGCGCTGGCATCTCAGATGGGAGCAGGCACTGACGTTTCGGGTACATGCGAGCCTTTGCCGAGCCACATGGGGGGTGGTACGGTGACCGCGGGTTATGAACGAGGCGAGGGAAGCATTGCGCGCCGCAGTGAGCTGTCATCTCGCAGGCGGCTTTGTTTTGTTCTCCCGTTCGTCTCTTCTACCGTAGTTGGCGTGTTGTCGGTGGCGGAAGGAGCGCGCGCGAAGTTGTAGCCTGCGCATATCAGCAGGTGGCATACACCGGACCGGAATCGCACACGCAGGCAAACGGAAGCACGCCCGCAGGCATGCATGGATAGACGCACGGGAGGCGGGAGGGGAGGGGAGGGGAGGGGAAGGAGGGGGGTAGTATGCCGTAACTGTACGAGGGTGGAATAGGGCCCGGGGTAGGCTTGGGGGGCATCGGCGGATTTACGGGAGGGAAGGGGAGCGAGGGGTCGCAGGTGAGGGGAGGGGGGGCGGGTGAGGGGGGGTTGTGTGAAAAGCGAGTTTGTTTCTGGACACATACAATGAAAACCGGGAAAGGAGCTGGGAGAGGGGTGGGTAATCTAATAGAAGTAATCTGTGCGGAGCGGGGGTAGTTCCGCCATCCATCCATTCACTTTTGTATAGAGGCATGCATAGTGGAAAAGGAAGTAGGAGAAGAGAGCGAGAGAGGGAAAATATCGATTGGTGATTTACTCACGCTGCTTGCTTGCGTGATATTAATTCTGATTGATCACCTCGTGTATGCTCGGTAACTTTTTGAGCCACGTGGAAGACCTGGTGAAGTGCTCATGTGACCGGCACTTTCTCCTACGCTCTCTTGTCATCTGCCTTTTGCCGCATTCACGCCTTCTCTGTGGGACGAGAGACGGACGTAACGGCAGTCACAAACGCAGACACAGAGAGAGAGAGAGAGAGAGAGAGAGAGGAGCACGCACACGCACACACACACACACACACACACGCACAGAGAGAGAGAGAGAGAGAGAGAGAGAGAGAGAGAGAGAGAGAGAGAGAGGAGCACACACACACACACGCCTGTCTCTTATACACATCTAGATGTGTATAAGAGACAGGATAATGAGAGGGTGAGGAAGAGATGGTGGACTGAGAGGAG